GGATAACTTCGACCCCCTCAAAGTCGCCCGGCGGTCCTCGCTCGCGGCGGGGTCGGCCTTCTCGGCCCCGCTTCCCCCCGCAGGGGGGCGGCCGCGAACCGCCGCCGAGGCCTTCGCCCGCGAGCCGTGGGAGACGTTGGGCCGCATCCGCCATGAGGCCCGCCGAATCCACGACGAACTCGCGCAAAATACGCCCGCCGCGGCGGCCGATGGCGGGCCCCTCATCGCCGAGGTCATCCACCGAATTCGAACTCGCCAGGCCGCGACGATCAAACCAATAAACAACAATATCAACAACAACAACGACGACGAGGCCTCACAGGGCGATTCGAAAGGGGAGGCAATGTGGTACGCGGCGAAACCCCTGAAGGACAATGAGGCCGAGCGGCGGCTGTGGGAAAGTCACGACATCGAGGACGATTGGGGGTGGATCATGAGCAATTCACACGTCAAAATCTTTTCCGTCGACGCGCAGTCCCCTTTTTACGTTGAGAATCTACAGCGGATTGCATGATTAGGGACCGTATGAAGATACGATCGCATTAAACTTCAAGAGTGGTACGTTAATTACCATTTTTCCTTTTTTTTTTTTCTTCCTCCCCTCCCCCTCCTCCTCCTCCCTCCATTACTAATTAGAGAGAAAGTAAATTATATAACTATTCAACTGTTTTTGTTTTACGTTGATTATTTGCATTCCCATTGTCAGGTAACTCAATATCTTGTTGAAGTCTTTCTTCCTACTAGAGGCTTATTTTAATAACCACTATCTTCCAGGGTCCCTGCCTGCTTTAATGTTTAATTTCGGGATATCGTTTTCAATAGTGTATTTGCTTTTAATCACTTTAAAAAAAAATACCTGTGCCTTGTCTGGACTATGAAGGAAAATTGTCTCAGTACTTTGAATCTGTAAAGGAAAACTAGAAATCTTGGGGTGCTTTTGTGGCTTGGGCAGGATGATTAACAAAGGATCTTTGACGCTATGGGGTCTTAATTTACGAATGTCTTTATTGCTTGTGTAGTTGCTTAGGATGTGGTCTACAGCAATTAAGGTCCATACTCTCACAATGGCTATATAATCCACTAGAGGAATTTTTGAAGCCCGGGTCTTTGCTTTCGTGGTCGGAGTCCCGTGGACTCCACCCCCCACCCGCAAGCGTTCTGGTCTTGCCGACGCTGCATCGTCCGAGTACTCTTTTTCAACCCTGCTTATCGATGTTTGGTTTGTTTGGCTTGGTTGAAGCTCAAAATGTGATGTCGGACTACACGCGGTGGTGGCGACAGAGCGACACCCACCGCAACCGAAAAAATCAAGTACGATCGAAATGCCCTCCCTCCCCCTCCTAAAATTAAAAAAAAACTCCTGAAATTTTCAGTTCCGATCTTTCATCTGCCACGGTCCATCACGTGCGCGATAGTTCATCCCTAACACAATCTTCAAAGGGAAGGAAACAATTTAGGAACGGTGTTGGGGCATCCGTCGATCGGACCTTCCCTTTTCATCAGTCTTCCCTCCGCACCACGCAACACCCTTGGAGTGAATAATAGCGGGGAGGCGTGAACGAAAGTCGCGATCCCACTGCCCTCGACTCTGGCAAATGGGGATACGTCGGCCGATTGGGATCCTTTTTTTATGGTGCTATAGTCCTAAAAAGGGAGAAAATAATAAGGGGGAGGATAGGCTCCACCGATCGATACGCCATATTTCCCGAATGTGCATTTCCACAAGTGAAAGAAGTCAAACCTAATTGTGCGGCATTTTTTCCACGTATGGGGTTAACTTGGTTTCGTGACGAGTGAAATTGTTGGGCCTGAATACCCATGCACACCCTCTGCGTCTCTATTCACGGTCTCGCGTCTTTCTTTTCGTTTCTTTTTTCTTTCTTTCCCACCAGTAATTGAGAACGCCGATGTGGACACGAATAGCTTGTAGGTTTAAAAGCCATGGATGGTTCCGATGGGCGCCGGGGACGCGCCCGACAACGTCTCCTTCCGCGTGGGCTCACCAGATGGTTTCCGCTCCGGGGGGGGAGATTGGCCCCCTCCGCCCCTCCCGCCCTCTCCACAGGCCGCAAACCATCAAACCGAACCCCTTCGAGACCTCCTCGGGGAAGTTCGACCAAAGCTTCGAGAAGACCCTGGGGAATATCGAAGCCCAGCTTCCTTTTCGCCAGCACCACTTCACCAAAGGCTACATGTACGATCGCACCTTCGGCGACGAAACCCAGGAGGCGATGTGGGAGTCCGCCAAGGCTGACTTGCATGGAAAGGAGCCGGAGCGCACGGCGGCCAAAGTCGCGCGGAGTTATTTCAGCGAGACGGACCTCTCCCCCGAGGCCCTGCACGTCCACTCGCCGCGCTTGAAGGCCGCCCAGCAAATCCAACGCCAGGAGTACGACAAGGCGCTTTTGAAAACAACCGGGGAGCCGCTGGAGTACTACTACCCCTTCGTCTCGGTCGAGGCGAAGCGTCGAAAACAAATGTGGATCATAGCCGGGATCGCGGGGGGGGTCGGGCTAGTCTGGTATGGCTGTCGACGGCTCACAGTGTACATGCTTTCTGTGTAGAACGGGTAAAATAATGAAAAAGGGAAGTAGAATAGGTCAAGAGTTATGAAAAAAAAACGCATTAGTGGTTGTAGTCTTTTCCTTCAAAAAGAAAAAGGCTCTATTTTTTATTATTTTTTTTGCTAGATGCTACTCTATAATCAAAGATCTCAACGAATAAGCAACCAAAAGACGGCATCGGTTGTATGAATTTTACTTTCTTATTATATCGTTACCTGTTTAAACACCATTTGTATTATCTACCTCTTATATCACCATAATTATTTTGAGGTAAGTTTGTTCACAGTTTTTTTTTAGTCAGCGCACTTTATCCTCTTGTATTTGCATCGTGGTATTCGATTTTCAGTTTGTCTTTTGACTCTTTATTACACAGAGAATAGCAAAAAACAAAGGAAAATTTTGTTTTTCTTATTAATTGGTCGATCATAGGTTTTTTGTTTGCGTTAATTCTATTATTATATCGCATAGAACACTCACGCATAAAGAAACAATAAAGTATCAATCAAGATATTCATAAATATAAACTGGTGTATATATAGATATATATACATATATATATACATCATCACACTGTGTGAATCGCAGGTTGGCATAAGTGAAGCCTGGGAAACGCGATTTCGAGTGCTCATATTATCTTTACTTTTTACCCATACATAGGATTTTCACCATAGAAGGAAAGGATATCATAACCTATTTAAAAAAAAACGTATTTAGGTCTTACACACATAATTCTGAGTATAATAAACAGAAGAGATAGTGGATTATATCACAAAGTATTTTAAAAGAAAAAAAATCTTTTATTCACACTAAAGTGTACACCCCTGTCCAACAGCTGTGTAACCATTTTCATTAGTATTGTTTGGGACTGAATAAATAACTAAACTAAAAAAAGAAACTACACCCACACCCACACACACCCATATACCCCACGAAGATGGACTCCAACCGTGCCCTGGTGGACAACTTCCTGAACGGCAGCTCCAACCTCTCCCTGCCGGTGGTATCGCCGAAGCACCACCACCACCACCACAGCGGAAGCGGGGGGAGCGGGGGGGGGGCGGGAAACCCCGTGGCCGACCTCGCCGCGATGAACGCGAACGTTAGCGCGCTGGCCATGCTCGACCCCGCCCCGGGCGACCCTGCCGGGCGGGGGTTCGCGCCGAACGGGAACGCCGCCGCGCACATGCTGGCCCTGCAGCAGCGCCTGTTCGTCCTGCTGAGCGAGGCCCAGGGCATCATCACCCAGCTCCAGCAGTACGGCTGCTTCCCGAAGATGCCGCTGACCCCCCAACGGAGGAGGAGGGAGGGGGGGGGGGTCCGACCCACG